AACACTGAACACTCCCTGGTTGTGAACAGCACAGAGAGCCAAACCCTGAGAACCCTAAACCCTGCGAACCCATACCCTGAGAGAACCAAACCCTACTCGAAGTGTCCAGCTCCAATAAGAGAGACTGGTGAGAAAACCCCGGTTGAGAAAATGAACCACTGGGGAACAGTCCGAATGGAGCTGAAGATTGGAACCCTGGGGAATCTGAATCCTCCATGGACTTCTACATGCACTCAGATCCTCGATGGATTGTGGCCATGTCACATAGTCACACTCTCCAAAACTGCACTGTGCACCTGACAAAGGGGAGGAGACCAAGGAAAAGTCTCCTTTCCAGTACCCTGGCTAGCTTGGCAAGTGCTGGTCACAAAGGTCCAATCCAGAGCTGAGGAGTCCATGAAGACATTGAGTGAGGGGGGGGGGGGGAAAGAAGGCACCAGGAAACCATATCTCGTAAAGCCCAAAGAAAAAGCTGGCAATGTAGGGGCCAGCAAAAGGCCAATGGGGCCAGCACCCAGTGATAGCAACGGCAGCAAAAGCAGCTGCCCAGGAGGTACCAGAACAGCCACCACCTTGCCTAGAGGCAAGGTGTGGTTTGCTATGCAAGCAAAATTCAGGTTCTTGCAAAGCTGCTTGAGCAACCTTTGAATCACTTGGGGCCAACTCAACACCAAAAGATGGCGGTGCTGCCACTAGAGGAAGGAAAAACAAAGCTGACAGAGTTCCACATGAGGCCCAGCCAAGTTTGAACCTGGGATGTAACCAACCGGGTTTTCTGCCAGTTCACCAGGAATCAACCCGTTCTCGCAAATTTAATAAGTCAATATTGACTTATTAAATATGTGCATAGGTGACATACTTAACATAATAGTTTCCCTTGAAAAGCTTCATAGAAAACACCGACCTTACCTAACCTACTTAGTATGTTAAGATAAGCATCTTATTGCTTCGTAATTACAATTATTACCTAACCTATAATAGGTATAGGTTAAGTAATAATTGTAATTACGAAGCAATAACATGCTTATCTTAAGATACTAACAAGGTTAGGTAAGGTCGGTGTTTTCTATGAATCTTTTTAAGGGTATCTATTATGTTTAGTATATCACCTATGCACGTAGTTAATAAGTCAATATTGACTTTACGAATTTGCGAGAACGGGTTGCAGGAATCCGAATCTGGAGAGATGGGAAAGAACCAGATCTCTGGCTAGCAGACATGCAGACCAGCTGGGAGCCCACACCAGCTAGTCATCGAGGTAGGCTAAAACCCGAACCCCCCAACAAATGAACACGAGTCCTAACAACCCAAGTGGAGCCAGATTGAGCCTAAATGGGAGAACCTGAAAGTGTTAAGCCTGCTTCCTCATGACAAAACCTAGCCAATCCATTAACCTCAGATGTGTAGGACTTGCCAATACGAGAACCGGAGGTCCAGTACCGCAGCAGATACCTTCCAAGCGGAGTGAGTAAGGTACCGACCCAATGGAGAAAAAGTGACTGTGGGAAGCACATGCGACCCGGCATCTGGCTCCACAGACAACCTAATTCAATCCATAGACAGCCTTCCTCGATCCACAGATGGCATACTCGAGCCACAGCAGCTCTGCTAGACTGACTCCAGGAACGTGAACAAGAATGTCGATAAGAGAGAAGGTCCTAAACAGGCCAACAGACCACAGCTGCCAATGAGAGGAACTGTGCCACCACATCCTCAGTAAAGATGAAAGAAGAAAACAGGGAGGCAGACAGGAGAGCCAATGCCCATGCCAAATCCAAAGATAGAGCCAACACAGCCTGTCGACACACAACCCAGAACATGGAAATGTACAGCTTGGTAAGCACAACCGATGCAGCCCCATAAGAAGCTAAGACTCCGGCATAGGGTCCCCTCTGCCAAGTGCTGCAATGTCCTTGGGGGGACAGCAGAACTGACACGTGGTCTCCAGCGGACAACCGCCACGGGGTCTCCAGCGGACAACCGCCACGGGGTCTCCAGCGGACAACCGCCACGGGGTCTCCAGCGGACAACCGCCACGGGGTCTCCAGCGGACAACCGCCACGGGGTCTCCAGCGGACAACCGCCACGTGGTCTCCAGCGGACAACATCCACGGGGGCTCCAGCCGACAACCGCCACGGGGGCTCCAGCGGACAACCGCCACGGGGGCTCCAGCGGACAACCGCCACGGGGTCTCCAGCGGACAACCGCCACGGGGGCTCCAGCGGACAACCGCCACGGGGGCTCCAGCGGACAACCGCCACGGGGGCTCCAGCGGACAACCGCCACGGGGGCTCCAGCGGACAACCGCCACGGGGGCTCCAGCGGACAACCGCCACGGGGGCTCCAGCGGACAACCGCCACGGGGGCTCCAGCCGACAACCGCCACGGGGGCTCCAGCGGACAACCGCCACGGGGGCTCCAGCGGACAACCGCCACGGGGGCTCCAGCGGACAACCGCCACGGGGGCTCCAGCCGACAACCGCCACGGGGGCTCCAGCCGACAACCGCCACGGGGGCTCCAGCCGACAACCGCCACGGGGGCTCCAGCCGACAACCGCCACGGGGGCTCCAGCCGACAACCGCCACGGGGGCTCCAGCCGACAACCGCCACGGGGGCTCCAGCCGACAACCGCCACGGGGTCTCCAGCGGACAACCGCCACGGGGTCTCCAGCGGACAACCGCCACGGGGTCTCCAGCGGACAACCGTCACGGGGTCTCCAGCGGACAACCGTCACGGGGTCTCCAGCGGACAACCGTCACGGGGTCTCCAGCGGACAACCGTCACGGGGTCTCCAGCGGACAACCGTCACGGGGTCTCCAGCAGACAACCGTCACGGGGTCTCCAGCAGACAACCGTCACGGGGTCTCCAGCAGACAACCGTCACGGGGTCTCCAGCAGACAACCGTCACGGGGTCTCCAGCAGACAACCGTCACGGGGTCTCCAGCAGACAACCGTCACGGGGTCTCCAGCAAAGAACCGTCACGGGGTCTCCAAGCAGACAACCGTCACGGGGTCTCCAGCGGACAACCGTCACGGGGTCTCCAGCGGACAACCGCCACGGGGTCTCCAGCGGACAACCGTCACGGGGTCTCCAGCGGACAACCGTCACGGGGTCTCCAGCAGACAACCGTCACGGGGTCTCCAGCAGACAACCGTCACGGGGTCTCCAGCAGACAACCGTCACGGGGTCTCCAGCAAAGAACCGTCACGGGGTCTCCAAGCAGACAACCGTCACGGGGTCTCCAGCAGACAACCGTCACGGGGTCTCCAGCAGACAACCATCACAGGGTCTCCAAGCAGGCAACCGTCACAGATGCTCTAGCAGACAACCACAGACTTTTGACATCTGGATATTTTCATGTTACATTCATACTTAGGTAAAGTACACCACTGCCATGCTCCATTCATACATAGGTACAGTAAATCTTTGTCCAAAAATAAAGCATCATTCTTGCAGGATGTTCTCATAAAGAGAGCCAAGGTAGATCACACTAACGTGATGCATCAAATGAACAAATCCACAAGGGCCGTGACAAGGATTCGAACCTGCGTCCGGGAGCATCCCAGACACTGCCTTAATCGACTGAGCTATGACAGGGTAAAAGGGTTGAAACCGACGTTCTACTGAACTTACTGGATCCTGTAGCCTCTCCGAGACACAAACCAGGCTTTTACACAACCCCCCCCCCCTGCACCCGAGCTATGTCAATAGGCCGTTCTCCCTCTTCGCCCTTACATCACACACAGAGATCACACTAACGTGATGCATCAAATGAACAAATCCACAAGGGCCGTGGCGAGGAACGAACCTGCGTCCGGGAGCATCCCAGACACTCCCAGAGGCTACGGGATCCAGTAAGTTCAGTAGAACTTCAGTTTCAACCCTTTTACCCTGTCATAGCTCAGTCGATTAAGGCAGTGTCTGGGATGCTCCCGGACGCAGGTTCGAATCCTCGTCACGGCCCTTGTGGATTTGTTCAGAGCCAAGGTAAGTACTGCTTGTGCATCACATTGGTCTATGAGTACTGGACAAGTCTCCTCATGATGCCTCTCCTCCTCTTACATACCTTCTATAACTCCTCCATGATACCTCTCTCATTCTACAGTTTCACCACTTTCCACTTCATAGAAAATTGTGCAATTTTAATACGTATGGTATTGTATAGGATCAACACAAGCTTGGTATGGAAGTGGTGATAGAGATGAAAATAGCACACGGTCAGTACAGACTTGCCGAGGCCTGGAGTCTATTGCACACTATTGCAGAGGCCTAGAGTCTATTGCACACTATTGCAGAGGCCTAGAGTCTATTGCACACTATTCCAGAGGCCTAGGGTTTATTGAAATGTACTGCAGACTGTTACAGAGGCCAGAGGAATCAGAACACCAACTGTATATTATTGCAGAGTTCGCGAAGTTCAATAAGACTACAGTATTGCAAAGCCCTGGGGTTTTGATATACAGTATTGTAATTTATTGTAGTCTGGGGTTTCAGTATGTCTATTGCAGACTGTTACAGTGGTCAGGAACCTCAATATGCCTATTCTAGATACTGTAATGGCAGTTCTAGGGTCTCAACAGGCTTATTACACTTCAACAGAGATCGGTAGGGCTTCAATATAACTATTGTATTGGTCAGGGGTTTCAACGGGCATCTTCGCCCCTGTAGTGACAAAGAAACCTAAGAAAACTGCATCTTACACATTTATACTGTGGTAACATTTCAGATAGAACTGATAAACTTGAGAGAATGGGGAAGAAAAGGAAATGACAAACGTACTAGAGAAATGTACCAGTTACGTAGCGGGCAGTTGCTCACTCAAGTGTTGGGGAACACTAGATGCTTATTGCATACTATGTCATCACCCAACTACTGTAGTACAGAAAGTTATCTGATTTTCTTTTATAATAATTTGCCTGTACCTGCTATTCTTTTTCCTTAAATGTCTGCTTGGAGTAAATAAACATAAATGTGTCAGAGTAGGACTTCCCATACCTCCTCTTTGGTTTGTTCAACCATTTTATATTTCCGGTTGGCGTCGTCGGCCTGGCGTCTCCATGCCTCGCATGCGGTCCGTGCCTGAGCAATGCCCTCCTCCCATGATGCGAGCTACAAAATGTTTCACGTTATAAGGACTTGAAGGGGTATCTCAGGCCTAAGCAATGCCCTCCCATGATGTAAACTGCAAAAGGTTCTTGTATAGGGACTAGAAGGGGTACTCTCTAAAAACTGTTAAAAGGCTAGAAGGTGTATCTCAAGCCTGACAAAAGTTTTATTTTCAAGCTACAAAAACTGTAAGTGGTAGCTTTCTCAGGCTTAAATGAACTGAAGTTTTATGAAGTAAACAATGTCATACTGATGTGGTGTAACATACAGGATACGCAGAAATTGACAACATAACTAACATATGATGTAAAAGTAAAGTGAAGAATACATGCATGAGACGGCGTATTTATGGAGGAGTCGTGGATTGGTTCCAAGACGAGGTGTAATGGTGTTGCACACGAAATTAAGGCACATAGGATACCGACAGATAAATTTAAATAAATAGTTGTATATTGTAAATTATGAAGTTGGGCTCACCCATAATTTTTGACAAAAACCTTTTTAAATTGAAACAATTCCAAGTTTCACCCACCTTAGCACGGTTTGTGGCCAGTTCCTCCCTGAGCCGTTGGATTTCAGAAGTGCTGGAGTTGCTGCTAGTGGTGAAGGGAGCCATAAGAGGAGATTGAGATAAATGATTACAAAGTGGATTTCGACTGTGAGGGGACATGGAACTAAGGTCGAACAAGCCTCCACTTGTGCCACTTGAAGAGAATACTCCACTTCCACTTATTTTGCCTACTCCATTAGTGCCTAGGAATGCTGCTGCTCCCTGCAAATTACCACAAAATTATTACATGGCAATTGCTGTACATAAAACCAGCATTAAATGTAATGAAACTCCAATTTCTGGCAAGTGCCAGAAGCTCCCTGAACCTGTTATGTACTGATATGGTACCATCTACTAGGTCGCATCAGCCGTGGAGCTCTAAAGGCCTACTGGAACCAGCATCAGAACCTGACCCCCTCAAAGTGCCACAGGGAGCCGGTGACATTTATTTTCGACACCCACCATGGAAGACAACCAGAAATTAATTATTATACACACACAGGAATAAGGTAGCTCAAGATATTCTCACCTCATTCAGTACAATGTGTTTATATATACACAAAAATTGTCTTGACACTTCCGTGGAAATAAAATTTTTATTCACCGAGACTCTAGGCGACTTCAATTGTAGACCCCACGTGAGTGATGCCAAAACTATCGACTGAGCTATTGAGTAGTCTTAAATAAGGAAAGTTTCACCAGGATGCGATAAACCGGGTGAGCTGCCCCCCTCAAAAAGGAGACGGAGTGAATGTGGCGTCAAACAGAGCGAACATGACATTGACCAAATGGAGGAGAACTGGTCGCAGAAGTGCATGCATCCTGATCTCTCACCCCACAAAAGGCCTACCAACAGGCAACAGCCGAGCTCTACCCGACCACCTCGAAAATGAGAATGGAAACCCGGTAAACAGAGGTCCATAAAGGGCTGACAAGATGCAGCCACTGAAGAAAGGAACTGTGCAACATCCCCAGGTAAAGGGAAAGAACAAAAGGGAGAAGTGGGAAGGAGAACAAGGGCTGAGACCAAATGCAAAGAATAGGCCAACACAGCCTGATATGTAAGTTGGGTTGTGAAGAATGTGGCCACCACAACCTAGAGCACGGGAGCGTACATCTTAGAAAGCATAGCCAATGCAGCCACAGCGGAGGCCAAGGAGAGGTTTCAAAGAAAGAAGGGACTGGCTGAAAGGTAAACCCAGAAGCTTTGGTGGGACTAGCCCGTCAACTGCCTCCACACACAAATTGGAAGGGGCAATCCCTGGAGTTGCCAATCTACATCCTGAGCTAAACTCTGCCCTGACCAACCTGGAACCCTGAGACGCTTCATCGTAAGAAGCACAGTGGTAAGAACAGAGGAAGAGCAAACCATACCCGAATGGGATGGAAGAAGAAGTGCAGACAGAGGCAATGTAGAGGTCACCAACACCACCACTTCTAAAGTCCTAAAAACCAACTGGTACAGCTCCGGGGCAACCCAATGGGCACACACCCTAGACCGCTGCAATTGAAAAAACCCAACACACAAAGCAGTCGCTGCCTGGAATACCCTAACCTAATTAGGAGAGCCACAAAGAAGAGCTGCTGGCAAATCCCAGCAGGACTCGGGTCAGGATCAAAGGTGTAAACAACCCAACATGCAGCATTGCAGAGGCAGAAGGAATGAACGCCATCACAAAACATGGACGACACGCAACCCTCAAACTTGCATGAAATGAAAGCAGGTTTGGAAGGAATATCCATAAGATCACCAAACCCACAAGGAATTTCCAGGACCTGAAGGGAACACCCAAGCAGGACACCCTGGCACTAGGACTGTCAGACCTAAAAGTGACCCGACATAGTCTGGGTGATGCCGTGAAGAACTACCAGTGAACTACCACCCTCCAAAGTCACGCCTGACAGTCTAAAGACATCACACTTCACCCAGGGTGAGTCAACACTAGCGAGGAGGACTTCTACGGAAATGATTCCCAAACACTGGAGGGAAAGCACACACTTCAACTAGGCGAGAACACCCTCAACTAGGTGAGTGCACAGAGAAGGTAACCCTGCACTCATGCAGCTCCAAGATCACTCAAAACTTGGTTCATGTTACTCTACAGTTTACAGCACCCACCCACTTGGCTCAACAAGCAAAACACAGGGGCCAGCATAGAAGAGAGGTGACCTGGTGCTCATTACATCACAGAACTGAGGTTGGGAAGGAGAGTGGCGGTGAAGTTACCTATCCCGTCCCTGCTAACTAATGGGGTGAATGAAACTGTGCTTGTTCCAAGAGAATTCGATCATTTGTTTACACCGATAGGGAAGTTTTTTCAGCGGGTCTCGAGGCTTTGGTCTCTACTGAAGCTATTAGTGGTTTGTTTTGACTCGATGACTTTGTGGTTGCCTTCCCAATTGGGCGACAAAAATTTGTCACCAGCTCCCTGCACCTCTTTTGGGGGGGGGGGGGCAGGTTCTGTTGCTGGTCCCCAGTAGGCCTATATAACTACTCAGCTGTTATGACCTAGTAGATGGTACCATCTTGGTACATGTAGCTTCAGGGAGCTAAGTAGGGCTTCCCTCAGAAACTAGAGTTTTGTATAATAAAAAGGAACATACAGGCTTTCAAATTTGAGTTCAGGAACAAATACAAACACAAAGCTTCATGAAATACCTGATCTAGGGAATTTTCTCTGTGTAAAGATGATTGTAGAAATGAATGTGGGAAAGCTGGAGATGAAGTAGACGATGGCGAAGGATTAGTGAGCAAGCCACCCGATCGTTCCTGGAAGCTGGAACCAGGAATATTTACCGGTGCACTAGACCCAAGCAAGCCTAGAAGGGCACATGGTAAACGTCAGGTAACTTATTAGATTTTAACGTGGCCAACAAATCTAAAGATACTGTAAGCTATTTCTTTAAACCAATCAATAGATTCAACTGAGGATGGGAGACTACTATAATTTGTGTAGTGAGTGGGTACACTGAAACTTGACATGCAAGAAAATTGCAGTTTAACTCCCATTGATCTGGTGCACAAGTATTTCTACTACATAGTGCAAGTATCCTATGTCTTACTGCTACACCATCACACACAAACATCTCCCACTACTACACCATCACACACAAACATCTCCCACTGCTACACCATCACACACAAACATCTCCCATTGCTACACTATCACACACAAACATCTCCCACTGCTACACCATCACACACACAAACATCTCCCACTGCTACACCATCACACACAAACTTCTCCCACTGCTACACCATCACACACACAAACTTCTTCCACTGCTACACCATCACACACACAAACTTCTTCCACTGCTACACCATCACACACACAAACATCTCCCACTGCTACACCATCACACACACAAACTTCTTCCACTGCTACACCATCACACACACAAACTTCTTCCACTGCTACACCATCACACACACAAACTTCTTCCACTGCTACACCATCACACACACAAACATCTCCCACTGCTACACCATCACACACACAAACATCTCCCACTGCTGCACCATCACACACACAAACATCTCCCACTGCTGCACCATCACACACACAAACATCTCCCACTGCTACACCATCACACACACACACAAACTATCTCCCACTGCTACACCATCACACACAAACATCTCCCACTGCTACACTATCACACACAAACATCTCCCACTGCTACACCATCACACACACAAACATCTCCCACTGCTACACCATCACACACACAAACTTCTCCCACTGCTACACCATCACACACAAACTTCTCCCACTGCTACACCATCACACACAAACTTCTCCCACTGCTACACCATCACACACACAAACATCTCCCACAGCTACACCATCACACACACAAACTTCTTCCACTGCTACACCATCACACACACAAACATCTCCCACTGCTACACCATCACACACACAAACTTCTCCCACTGCTACACCATCACACACACAAACATCTCCCACAGCTACACCATCACACACAAACATCTCCCACTGCTACACCATCACACACAAACTTCTTCCACTGCTACACCATCACACACAAACATCTCCCACTGCTACACCATCACACACAAACATCTCCCACTGCTACACCATCACACACAAACTTCTCCCACTGCTACACCATCACACACACAAACTTCTCCCACTGCTACACCATCACACACACAAACTTCTCCCACTGCTACACCATCACACACAAACTTCTCCCACTGCTACACCATCACACACAAACATCTCCCACTGCTACACCATCACACACACAAACATCTCCCACTGCTACACCATCACACACAAACTTCTCCCACTGCTACACCATCACACACACAAACTTCTTCCACTGCTACACCATCACACACACAAACATCTCCCACTGCTACACCATCACACACACAAACATCTCCCACTGCTACACCATCACACACAAACTTCTCCCACTGCTACACCATCACACACACAAACTTCTTCCACTGCTACACCATCACACACACAAACATCTCCCACTGCTACACCATCACACACACAAACATCTCCCACTGCTACACCATCACACACAAACTTCTCCCACTGCTACACCATCACACACACAAACTTCTCCCACTGCTACACCATCACACACACAAACATCTCCCACTGCTACACCATCACACACACAAACATCTCCCACTGCTACACCATCACACACACAAACATCTCCCACTGCTACACCATCACACACACAAACATCTCCCACTGCTACACCATCACACACACAAACTTCTTCCACTGCTACACCATCACACACACAAACATCTCCCACTGCTACACCATCACACACACAAACATCTCCCACTGCTACACCATCACACACACAAACATCTCCCACTGCTACACCATCACACACACAAACATCTCCCACTGCTACACCATCACACACACAAACTTCTTCCACTGCTACACCATCACACACACAAACATCTCCCACTGCTGCACCATCACACACACAAACATCTCCCACTGCTACACCATCACACACACAAACTTCTTCCACTGCTACACCATCACACACACAAACATCTCCCACTGCTGCACCATCACACACACAAACTTCTCCCACTGCTACACCATCACACACACAAACTTCTTCCACTGCTACACCATCACACACACAAACATCTCCCACTGCTACACCATCACACACACAAACATCTCCCACTGCTACACCATCACACACACAAACTTCTCCCACTGCTACACCATCACACACACAAACATCTCCCACTGCTGCACCATCACACACACAAACTTCTCCCACTGCTGCACCATCACACACACAAACATCTCCCACTGCTACACCATCACACACACAAACATCTCCCACTGCTGCACCATCACACACACAAACATCTCCCACTGCTACACCATCACACACACAAACTTCTTCCACTGCTACACCATCACACACACAAACATCTCCCACTGCTACACCATCACACACACAAACATCTCCCACTGCTGCACCATCACACACACAAACATCTCCCACTGCTACACCATCACACACAAACATCTCCCACTGCTACACCATCACACACAAACTTCTCCCACTGCTACACCATCACACACACAAACATCTCCCACTGCTACACCATCACACACAAACATCTCCCACTGCTACACCATCACACACAAACTTCTCCCACTGCTACACCATCACACACACAAACTTCTTCCACTGCTACACCATCACACACAAACTTCTCCCACTGCTACACCATCACACACACAAACTTCTTCCACTGCTACACCATCACACACACAAACATCTCCCACTGCTACACCATCACACACACAAACATCTCCCACTGCTACACCATCACACACACAAACTTCTCCCACTGCTACACCATCACACACACAAACATCTCCAACTGCTGCACCATCACACACACAAACTTCTCCCACTGCTACACCATCACACACAAACATCTCCCACTGCTACACCATCACACACACAAACTTCTTCCACTGCTACACCATCACACACACAAACTTCTCCCACTGCTACACCATCACACACACAAACATCTCCCACTGCTGCACCATCACACACACAAACTTCTTCCACTGCTACACCATCACACACACAAACATCTCCCACTGCTACACCATCACACACACAAACTTCTCCAACTGCTACACCATCACACACACAAACTTCTCCAACTGCTGCACCATCACACACACAAACTTCTCCCACTGCTACACCATCACACACACAAACTTCTCCAACTGCTGCACCATCACACACACAAACTTCTCCCACTGCTACACCATCACACACAAACATCTCCCACTGCTACACCATCACACACACAAACATCTCCCACTGCTGCACCATCACACACACAAACATCTCCCACTGCTGCACCATCACACACACAAACATCTCCCACTGCTACACCATCACACACAAACATCTCCCACTGCTGCACCATCACACACACAAACAACCCCCACTGCTACACCATCACACAGAAACATCTCCCACTGCTGCACCATCACACACAAACATCTCCCACTGCTGCACCATCACACACACAAACAACCCCCACAGCTACACCATCACACAGAAACATCTCCCACTGCTGCACCATCACACACACAAACATCTCCCACTGCTACACCATCACACAGAAACATCTCCCACTGCTACACCATCACACAGAAACATCTCCCACTGCTACACCATCACACACAAACATCTCCCACTGCTACACCATCACACACAAACATCTCCCACTGCTACACCATCACACACAAACATCTCCCACTGCTACACCATCACACACAAACATCTCCCACTGCTGCACCATCACACACACAAACATCTCCCACTGCTACACCCCAACACCCAAATTTCTCATGATTCACCCCATGTATCAATTCTATAAAAGGTTTCTCACTTGTTAACACATTCACAAGGCGTCTTACCTGAACTAGCTAAACCCGATGATATAGAATTACTTAAAGAATTATTTTCCACTTCTAATTCTCTATCTAATGATGCAGCAATGTTCAGTGGCTCATCTAGGTTTAAATCTTCTAAAGCACTTCCTGTTGAGAAAGAACAAAAAGATTAGTCTATTTATATTTTCTATTAATTCAGCTAATTCTGTATTAGATAATATTGCATGGTGTTACCTATTACAGTACTATCGAGACACCCACTCATACCTAGGACACAGCTTAAGATATGACCAACACTCCATCCATCACTCACTGCTAGTCTACATCTTGTGATATGTAACGCCTCACACCATGTGTAGTAACACTTCTATGCTCACACATACAGGAGCGTCACAGCTGAGTGGACAGCGCTCGGGGTCTTAGTTCTAATGGCCCGGGTTCGATTCCCGGGCCATGGGAAAAGAAACAAATGGGCAAAGTTTTTTACTCTGATGCCTTTGTTCAGCTAGCAGTAAATAGGTACCTGGGAGTTAGACAGCTGCTATGGGCTGCTCCTGGAGATGTGTAATTACCTAAGTGTATTTACAGGATGAGAGCTACACTCGTGGTGTCCCGTCTTCCCAGCACTCTTTGTCATATAACACTTTGAAACTACTGACGGTCTTGGCCTCCACCACCTTCTCACCTAACTTGTTCCAACCGTCTACCGCTATTTGTGAAAGTAAATTTTTTTACATTTCTTCGGCATCTTTGTTTAGTTAGTATAAATCTATGACCTCTTGTTCTTGAAGTTCCAGGTCTCAGGAAATGTTCCCTATCAATTTAATCAAATTCTGTTACTATTTTGTACGTAGTGATCATATCACCACTTTTTCTTCTGTTTTCTAGTTTTAGCATATTTAATGCCTCTAACCTCTCCTCGTAGCTCTTGCCCTTCAGTTCTGGGAGCCACTCAGTAGCATGTCTTTGCACCTTTGCCAGTTTGTTGATGTGCTTCTTAATTTAAGATATGGGCACCACACAACTGCTGCATATTCCAGCTTTGGTCTATCAAGTCGTAAACAATTTCTTTAGTATTTCGCCATCCATGTATTTAAAAGCAATTCTGAAGTTAGACAGCATAGCGTAGGCTCCTTACACAACATTCTTTATGTGATCCTAAGGTGATGGTTTTCTATCTAGAACCACCCCTAGATCTCTTTATCAGAATTCCTTAAAGATTTCTCACATAATATATAGGTTGTGTGGGGTCTATGATCTCCTATTCCACATTCCATAGCATGGCATTTATTCACACTAAATTTCATTTGCCAAGTGGTGCTCCATATATTGACTTTGTCCAGGTCTTCTTGAAGGGCATGGCAATCATCTAAGTTTCTTATCTTCACTATTATCGTAACATTATCAGCATACATGTTCATATAATTCTGTATTCCTTCTGGTAGATCGTTTATGTAGACAACGAACATTACCGGTGCAAGAACTGAACCCTGTGGTACTCCACTTGTGACATTCCTCCAGTCTGGTACATTGCCTCTGATCACTGCCCTCATTTTTCTATCAGTTAGGAAATTTTTCATCCATGTTAGAAACTTACCTGTCACCCCTTCAATATGTTCCAGTTTCCAGAACAACCTCTTATGTGGAACTCTATCAATAGCCTTTTTTAGGTCCAGATATATGCAGTCAACCCAACCATCTCTTTCCTGTAAAATCTCTGTGGCTCGATCATAGAAACTGAGTAAATTTGTTGGACAGGATCTTCCAGATCGAAAACCATACTGACGATCTGATATTACTGTATATCGTTTGTCTCCAGGTGTTCTATCCATTTAGTTTTAATTATTTTTCCAACATTTTGACCATTACACTTGTCAATGATACCGGTCTATAATTGAGGGGGGTCTGTCTTGCTGCCACTTTTGTAGGTTGGAACTATATTAGCCTTTTCCACACATCTTTTCCACTTCAATTGAAGTGGAATGCTGAGCTCAGGTGCACATTCTCTCAGAACCCACGGTGAAACTCCATCTGGACCAACTGCTTGCTTCGTTCCATGAGCATTTTTTCCACTTCGTCTCTAGACAGCTCTATGTGCTCTATGTTGTTCTCTGGAATACTTAGTGTGTCTAGTTCCCTGAAGATTTCATTTTGTACAAACACACTTTGGAACTTTTTGTTAAATGTTTCACACATTTCCTTTTCATTTTCCGTGAATCTGTTTCCCATTTTCAACCTCTGAATATTATTCTTTACCTGCAATTTGTAGTTTATGAATTTATAGAAGAGGCCTGGTTCTGTTTTACATTTGTCCACTATCCATTTTTCAAAATTTCTTTCTGTCTCTCCTCACTGCCATGTAGTTGTTTCTGCATCTTTGTATTGGTAGTATGTTTGGGGGTTTGGCCTCTTCCTATATTGATTCCATTTTTGTGTCTTTTAGTCTCTGGCCCTCTCGCAATTTCTGTTGAACCACTCCTGTTTCCTAGTTCAGCATCTCTGCTTTGGTATAAATTGTGATGTGCCTTTATCATATATTTCGCAAAACTTGATAAACATCTCTTTTACGTCATGTCCTAACAACAAGTCTTTCCAGTCAAATTCCCTAAAGAAATGTCTGAGTTCCCCATGTCCTCTCCTGAAATCAGGTTTATCCAACTGCTTCAACCTTATTTTCTTCCAGATTATAACGAATTGCATACTTTATTCCCAAAAAGACATGGTCACATTTACCCAAGGAAGGAAGGTACTGAATGTCAAATATCTCTTCCTCTTTCCGCCCACCCACGCTGGAGGCTCACTGTTCTCGTGACAGTCGCGGTCTCCCCCGGAGTCAAAAAGTTTTCCCATTCCAGTTATTTTAGCTTGGATATTTGTTGTTACCAGCTTTATAAACACTGCAAATTGACTTCCAGCTGGATAGTAATCAAGAACAGAGCCAATTCATGGCGAAAGCATTGAAACACGTACGAGGGAAAATTTATTGAGTGTTTGCTGAAAGTAGAGAAACATGAGACTTAGATTTTCATATACAGGTATGCAAATATTCCTTTAGAGCATTCAATTGCAAATAATTGATACCAAACTGAACAATGCAGCACAAAAATTGAGGTCAGAAAGCTGAAAAAGAATATAAACATTTGTGTGTGGTGACGAGTTCACGCGCAACGCTCGGCCGACCTTGATGCGTGATAGCATTAAGAGCATCTCGCTCATAAGTACAACACTCGTGTTGCCTGATGCACTCAAGTCCTATCCGATTTAATACTTGCATTTCTATAACCTTCACTAAATCAATAGTTTTTACTAGTGCTGTTCTTGGGTGCAATTTGTTTGTCCCCTATTCCACGTTCCCCTCTACTTTACTGGCCTAAGTAAGAGAACCATCAACACTTCTTTCTGATTAATAACTGTGTCAAATAAACCTAAGTTAGGGGAATCATTAATAGTCTGAACTACGGTTTACTCAACCAATTGCTCCCTCACTCATCTGCTTGTGAAATCTTACCTCAAACCATCCTTCATGACTCCTGAAGTATACCTTAACTCTAAAGACATTTAACATTTCATAATTCATTTATATCATTTGTGTAATAAGTGTTGCTAGCACCCACATGACACACATTTGCGGACAAGACACATTTCATACTAAAATGACACACATGGTTCTTACACAACACAGTTGCTTCCACTCAACAAATATTACACACGACACACGCTTGGCTCTCACACAACACACTTTGCTCATGCACAACACACTTTGCTCATGCACAACACACTTGGCTCTCATACAACACAATTGGCTCACACACAACACACTTGGCTCACAAACCGGTGCAAACATTTGACCACACAAAACACACCTGACCACACACAGCACTTGGTTCATTCACACAATCTTAAACACAAATTATACACATCGGTTACTCCGGCACTCTCATTATTCAGGGGTACATGACAATCTATTAATAAATGCTTCTGGTACTAATTTGAATACATTCATACAGATTTCCTGCACTTAATATACAGAAAACCCTCAGTTTTCACAAGGATTTACTGTATTTTAGTAAGGTAAACCTTACGTTTACCTTATGTTTACCTTACGTTTACCTTACCTTTACCTTACGTTTACCAAGTACTGTAAGGTACTTGGTTTATCTCAGATAAACCTTGACAATATCAAATGCATAAATATTGATCTTATTGTTATTGATATATTGATCAATATTCATAAATACTGATCTTATTGATAGTGCTCTGTATTCATAAATATTGATATGATATTGATATATATTCATAAATATTGATCTTATTGATATACTAGATTGAACCTTGCAACCTAGTACTGTATATTCAAAACAAGGATGTATTCCAGAGACATTGAAACGTCCCCATTTCTGGGAGGAGGCCTTTGGTGGCTCCCTGAAGCTATCTCACTGACATGGTTCCCCACTATTGGGTCACACCAGTTGCAGGAGTCATGTTTGACCTACCCAAGACCATGATCCAGAACCTGGCTCTCTCTCAAAGAGGCACAATCAGCAGCCTGATATTTAGTCAATATTCCTGGTCCCATTCCATCTTGTGCCGCACTGGGCCAGGGTTTTCAGCCCACTGATTCTTCTTCAACCTAGTTTCTGTCATCTCTTCTTCTCCCTGGTAAGTCCTTTCTTTGCTTCATTCTCTGTGGTTAGTTAGCCCTGGTAGCACCCTGACTCCCTCCTTCCCTTACCATGGTTGTTGATTCATCGGTTTGTTCTTTACCAGCTCGAAACTGACTGGTGAGTGGCTGCTGTCCAAGAGCCCTGGGCCGCCTAGTGGCGACCATTGGTACCAAGGGGTTGGAGCTAGTTTCGAGTGAACCATTTTGACCGAATCATTTGTGAAGTAGATTGGCTGTTTCAATGCATCATTTTCTATAAACCTTGCAATTGTCTGCATTGCTCCACTGACTTTCTGGACATTTCCGAGTGATGGCAATTATAATAATCCCCTGCTCCTTGTGCCTCTGTGAGGGTGGGGGGGGAGGTTCTGGCTCTTGTCCCCTAGTAAGCCAAACAAGACTTGCTACTGATGTGACCCAGCAGTGGGAAGCCATCTCAGTACGATAGCTTCAGGAATGTTATCATCGGCGTTCTACCACAAGGAGGAGTTTGATTACATTCCACACAGTCTTTTTTTCCCTTCTCTCTTGACGAAACATCTAGAACATTATTAGTAAGTACTCCTGCCATTTACAGCCACAAACCAACTGCTTTTAGCACATTTGTTCATTTATCAATGACAGAGTGAATATTATCTTTCATTTCAGCAGGAGAATTACATGAAGTTTACAGAAAGTCGTTATGAAAAACACAACCCCAAAGTGAGTGAAAATAAAAGAAACTCCGTTTGTTAACTTGTAAATGTGCTAATCACTCCACAGCTAATCTAGAATTTTCTATAGATAATACTGAAATGAAAATGTCCCCACTGACAAATCCCAAGCTTACCAAAGGTGAGGGTTTACTGTGTCATCACACACTACATTGTCCTCAAGTCCCATCACTCCTATTTCCCTGTTTAAATGTATGGCTGTATTGTATTAAATTGATTTTATAGCAATACTCTAGCGTGTGAGCTCAGTCTTCCTTATCACAACAATTCCAGTTACCAAGCCTATAGTGGGTAGACTTGAAGTGGATATTCAAATGGACCTCGAACCCTAGCACCAAACTCCCCTTCAACACTGCCTTTCTCACCTGACCTTTAGTACGTGCTTCCCATCTCCCCTTCAACACACACTACCAGGTATATGTAGCACCAGGATTGACTTCACTTCCAACACCTCACTCATTGATGCAAATACTCACCAACAACAGATTCCACGGTGTCGCTGGTGGGGTAGAATGGAGGGGCCAGGGGCGACACCGTTGATGACAAGCTGGAGGGTAACGAGGACACGAAGGATGACGACTGTGTGTGGGGCACGGAGACGGGAAGGGTCATGGGAAGGCTGATGGGTATCATGTTGGCCAAGAAAAGACTCTGTTTGCGTTTACTCTTTTCTTGCATGTCCAAGGTGTGGTCATTATCGATAGCGGCTAATTGCTTTTTCAAGTTGGTCTCTCGGTCCTCACGTTCTGAACCTGGGGCTTTGTGGTAAGAACTTAGACCACCAATACTTAAGCCACTCACTCCACCCCCTAAGCTGCCACTTAAGCCTAGAGCATCTGAAGAGCCTCCCAAGAGAGTATTCCCACTAAAGTGGCGGGGTTTACTGCCAATTGGTGCTAGAGGTGGTGGGGGATGGTTCATCCCATTACCAAATACACAGTCTACATTATTGCTAATGCTTGTTATCTGAAAAGGTAAAAACAGTACTTTTTTAGTTATTACAACAAAAATTTTAAGTTTAAAATCTATAAATGTTAACCAAATACAGACAATATAATCTTTCAGGAGATTACAGTCTAAATAGACACCTTGTATCATAACAGGGTGTATATAGCAATTTACTCGATAAGAATACAGTCTCTCAGGTACAATACAATATAAAACCTCAAGCAAATTTTCATTAAAAGCTAATATACCAGTTGTGGGCATTCATTCATTCTTAGTTAAATTAAATCTCACATTTTATGAATAAAACTAAAGCTAGTCAATTTCTTAAATCCAAAATGCCATATAGCAGATCCCCATAAAGGACCAAATACTCCTACCAAGTCTCTGTGGCAACATTCAGAGTTGTAAGAGAAAAATATGAATCTGGCCGGGGTTACTGTGAAATCTAGACTGTTGAATTATCATGTAAAGTCATGTCCAGATAATTTTTTTGTTTTCCTACATGCATAACTCTTATTCTTCTAATTGCAATTACAGTATTAATCAACATCTTTTTATTTTATAAATGTTTAACTGTGCTTGCATGTACTGCACTATAAACTGTAGAAAATAGTTTGCTTACATAAAATTTATTCGTGGTGTCCAATCACCTACTGTGAATCCAGGTCAACCGACCCACTAACTTTTCTTTGGATATATCATTACTCTATCTGTGAGTTCTGAGCACATCATCCAGGAAGAACAGTAAGTGAACATCAGGCAAGCATAAAAGAAATTTCCTTACACCCTTATTTTATAGTATCCACAAATTTGCAAATGTTGCTGTTAAATCCCATCTAAATCATTCATATATATGGTAAACAAAAGGATCCCATAACAGAATCCTATGGCATTCCACCTGCAATATATTCCAACTCTGACTTGATTCCACTAATGCTTACTCCCCATTTTAAATAATCCGACAAAGGATAATCCCTCACAATGAATCACGAAGGATTCAGTGGGAGAAATTTTCATATGCGTTGGTGTCATAAGCTTTGGTAAAGTCAAGATAAAAAAAATTAAAAATCCTTTCCTGTATCAACTGTGAAAAACACTAGAAAAGAATGGGAGTAAATTTGTTAAACATGAGCATCCCTTAATAAAAAGTTAATTTATACTAACCACTACAATTATGAATAACATGCAACTTTAAAATTGTTAAGATGAATATCTCTACCTAATAATAAGATTGCTGCAATTAAATAGTTATTCAGCATAACAGTGCCATTATAACTAACAAAATGACAGAACCACAGAGAAAAAGTTGTTAAAATAATTATTTGTGAGAAAAGCAAGACATACTAGTCAAATGTGAGGACAGAGTTGGAAAACAGGCACTGACAGGAGCGGTCAAGGGATGGAGTAAGGGAATACCAGAGGATAAGTCATATGTCAACTGGGTTGTATGAAGGATCTTAGTGTCATGATTGCTTCCCTAGAGACTCAGACAATGGACATGTACTGTAGAGATAGGTTAAATGCTGGAAGAATAAACACCAGGAACTACACAATGGAGAGAGATTCTTCTTGTAAATCCAAAGTGGGAGATTCATTCCACACTCAGTCCTGTATCTGTAGTGTATTTCGTATAACTTATTAGCTAATTTATCTCGTGCCACATTCTCACATCTTAGTGATACATAGATGCTATTCAGCTTATACATGGGATAACTTTTTTTTTTTTTTAACTTTGTTAAGTGTATCCAACTGAAAATCAAATAGAGGAATTCTACAAATTCCAGAATGTAAAGAGAGCCATTTGACTTTCTAACAAAAAACAAGGAGCCATTAAACATTCCATTTTTACTTTACTTTTTAAGAATAAAAGAGAAAGTAAAACAGGAATGTAATTGGAAGAGCGTGTCCAATATGACCGGCTAGCTCAAGCCGCAAGTAGACTAACCCCAGCACCGCACACCTCTTTTAACTGTAATTGGAAGAGCGTGTCCAATATGACCGGCTAGCTCAAGCCGCAAGTAGACTAACCCCAGCACCGCACACCTCTTTTAGCATGACAACCCCACGGCAAGCAAGAGAAAATAAATTCATTTTTGTCTTTCCAATAGTTAAAATACATTCCCTGATCACAGAAAAAGAAGTATGTTACTTAGGCTGTGGAGGAATGATGAAATCTGACAATAATGTTGGTGTTTGACGAGCGTTCATGCAGCAGATACCCCGAGGAAATCACCTAGATGAGGAGTGCGGCACAAGCTGCAGCGAATATATTCATACCGATTTATTTCAGTGTTGCTGATTATTTTTAGTTTCCTTTTTGCTGTTATATTATGCAATAGTGTGTTATTAGAGAAATTTCTATAATAAAATGTGCAAAACCTCGAAACAAAAATATATTTACGTCACTAAAATACACATTATGTTCTTTGAACAATAAAACTATTTTTACTATTATCACACTTTATTTACATGTTGTATATAACTATCTACATTTAATTACCTAAGTGTAATTACCTAAGTGTAGTTACAGGATGAGAGCTATGCTCGTGGTGTCCCATCTTCCCAGCACTCTTTGTCATATAACACTTTGAAACTACTGACGGTCTTGGCCTCCACCACCTTCTCCCCTAACTTGTTCCAACCGTCTACCACTCTGTTTGCAAAAGTGAATTTTCTTATATTTCTTCGGCATCTGTGTTTAGCTAGTTTAAATCTATGACCTCTTAATATGTGTATACATTACCAACCACTAAGCAGTTGTGGAGGATGTGATAATCTTGCAAGCACTGATCCAAGCTCAGCCTAACCATGTACATGTTGCACCAAGTTCTAAGTGCAAGCAGTGAAAATATTGTATTTTCTTTATGTTTTTAATGATTTTATCATAGTACTTTTCTTAGTGCAATGATGCATTGGACTCTTAAGTAATGTTACTTATATCATAGAACATGTAGAACATTGGTATGAACAGAAATATTTGTTAAATATGTGCACCACAATATAGTTTTAGAATAATAAATCGTACCATTTTGCTGATATCACACTGTATTCATACTTTATATTTAACCCTTGTGTGGCTCCGGGCTATTTAGCATTTGTCACTCACAGGCGCATACAAAAAAAAAAAAAAAATCTTCTAAACCTGTTAATTTGTGCTCTCTGATCATGGAAAAAATAATAAAAAAATCGTAAGTGGCATATATATTGCCCGCTATAGGGCGGGGAAGTCTGGCAAAAAACAGGGGCTGACTCAGCGTGCGTCCCAGACAGTCTGTTGCTCGCCAGCTGTCAGGCAGGAGTGGCCACAAAGAGATAATTACCTAATTATTTCAATGTCTCTGACTGATTTTTTCATAGTTTTTTGCTGTAATATTATTCAGTAGTGTGTAGTGTGATATATTTATATAATAAAATGAGTGAATCATCGCTGTACTCAAAAATATGGTGTGCATATTGTTGATTCAATTATTATGCTCATCAAGCAGTGAACAAATACTTTGTCAGTTATTACACTATATACAGAGGTTATATACAAGTATCTGCATGTTTTGTTTACCATAACGAACCACTAAGTTGCTATTATAAGTCAAAAAGCAACGACGAGTGACCACCACACACCAGCCAGCCACTCGCTGCCACTCACTCCCTCAACACCTCACTCGCCCACATTCTCCTCCCACAATACTGTTTTTGCTTTTATTCACTATATACAGACGTTATATATAAGTATCTGCATGTTTTGGTCACCACAACTGTACAACTAAGTTGATATAGTTAGTTCAGGCACTAAGAGATGTCGCTACACACAGTCAGGTGGCGGCTGCTTCCCTCATACATTCAAGGTCAGACGCACTAAAATTTCACCCCAACAATACTGTTTGTGGTGTATTACCCTATATACAGACATTATATATAAGTATCTACATGTTTTGTTCACCATAACTGTTCAACTAAGCTGGTATAATGCCCAAAGAGCATAATGGCCACCCCTCCCAACATGACAAATCGTGCAGACGTTGACACCCCCATCACCAAAATGGCTTCTCCCCCACACTCCTTTTGCTGTTATTACACTGTATATACACGTTATATGTAAGTATCTACTTTCGTTTTCCCCATAACGAACCACTAAGTTGGTATGCTGAGTGGCAGTGGCAGTGCCAGCCCGCCACTGGCTGCCACTCCCTCCCTCCCTCACCTCACCTGACTCGCCACCATTCTCCTCCCACCATACTGATTTTGCTTCTATATACAGATGTTATATATAAGTCTCTACATGTTTTGTTTACCATAGCGAACAACTAAGCTGGTATAGTGAGTCCAGACAGTAAAAGGTGGTCACAGTCAGCAGACAATGCTACCTCCCTCCCCACCAAGATTACTCCACCCACTACAGTGCTAATTATCACAACAATCCTGCTATTATCAGAATCCTGGTCATTTTTATCACAGTCAGGGGTCTTCTGTAATAATATCATTGCTAAATAATACCATGAGCATGTATATTATGGCATTTTTAGGCGATGCTGTGGTCACAAGCTGAACAGCAGTGCTGTGAGTTCATGCTGCATGTGTCAGGCTTGGTAGCTCACTCAGTACTGAGGCCCCTCACACCCGGGAATTTGGCCCACGATTTTTAAAAAAATGGCGTCTGTTTACAAGAGCCCCGATGAAGGTGTAGTGAACCCCGTGTATCCGCAGGCCATTTAAATCTTGCATAGTACTCCAATACATCATATGATGTGGAGCGCAAGTTACTGCAAGTCACTGAAATCATATGATGTGTTGTGCACTTAAAGGGTTAACAATCTACATGTTTATACACACTTGTGCACCATTAAGCAGTTGTGGTGGGTGTGATAATCTCATAACCCCTGATCCAAGCACAGCGCAGCTCCACATGCTCCTCACTGGCCAACGACACCCGACGAAGCAAAGTGCCCCCCGATATCACGCGACTAACACTAGCCAAAACACGATTATCAAAATTCCCGGTCATTAAATCCTAACTACCGATATGTTAATTTTCTAAAGGAACGTGTGTGCTGTGGCTGTGTGCCTGGTGCACTGTGAACCTTATCACCTGCATCGGGTTCACTCATCTTTGTACCTTATCTTTACCCCTGTCAGGTCTTCTGTCACTATCACTGTTAAATTATTGCAGTTTCTATATTGATTTATTTCATCCTCATTAAGCTACATAGTAGTGATGTGAGCTGCTGCTGCACTACTCATGGTTGCTCAAATAGTACTAAGGCCCTCACACCCACGAAGAGTGCCCTCTATTTTTGTCCAAAATGCAGTTTGTTTACTGGAGAGCTGATGAAGCAGAGGTGAGCCCTGCATACCCATGGCAGTTTTAAATCTTATGCTAGACCTAAAATTGACCTTGGTTGACATGTGCACCACCGATGAAACGACCCTGGCTGACATGTGCAGTTAAAGGGTTAACATCAGTATAGCTTGTATGTTAATCAACTGCTCAAAGTGACCAAGATGACTGATGGGACTTACAGTATTTGATTTGGAGATTAGAGAATTACAATGAGTTATTGAAGCAGAGGTGGAGGACGGTGTCACATGGTTCTCTGCAGGAAGAGCAGACTGTAGGATGTCGGCTAAACTTGTTCCAGTGCAATTTTCACTTGCTGCATTTTCTCTAACTTGTGTCATTTCCTCTGAAGAAGAAAATAAATATTATAATAACTGACCAAAACTCTACAGTACTAAAGGGTCAGTACAGTGATACGAGTCAACAGTTTAACTGGCATTTTAAGACAACAGGATTTGCAATATTGTACTTAATTTGAAGGGATACATCATTGTGAAATGCTGCAGATAACTAGTGGTTTCATATAAAACATAATTACAGTACAACCTCAATTTGACGTACCCTGATTCGGCGAATCCCTGGCTAGGTCGCACACTTTTCAGGCCGGATTTACTCACCCGTTTTGAGGAACCTGGTTCGCCGAAGCAGGGGTTGTGTGGATTTGCTTATGATGTTGGAACAGAGTTCACAGACTAGTGGAAAACTTTCCAATGCTATCACAGGTTACAATCAATAATTCCTTCATATGACAAGTTGGATCACACAAGTGGACATGTGGACCACGCAATAAGTGAACCATATTAACCAAACATCAGCCAGAGTGGTCCACACAACAAGTGAACAGCTAAGTTTCCATGATTTTCGTTCACTGACTTGTGGCACACGTATCTTTGTAAATTAATTTAAAGGCTGAGGCATGACTAACTAGCTACATGTGGTGAAATTTTCTTATAGACATTTTCTGTGATGAAACAAAATGAGCGAGGGTGGACAGATAAGTGAATACTGTACTGTAAACCTTACTTGGGTTTCCTTAGTCTGTGTCGTCATAGTTCAGTGACCCATGACTTTGAAAGTTTCAGATTAATAAATTATTTCTAAAACTGGTGTTTTAACACTATCGCCCGCACCACGAGAGCGCCGCAGACTTTGACGTCTTGGGGCTAATGGTGCGAGCGAGCGTACGGCGATGCCTAAATGTGTATACTCGTTTCAGTTTTCTCACCTTAATTCTCGTGCTACGTCGTTCGTTTAGGTATCATTGTGTTTGCAATTAAATTCCCTGCAGACGTATATGCATATAATGTCCAAAAGCCTGGCGAGACTCCCCACAGCAAGGCCTAAAGTCAGAAAATTACCAGTGAGCGCACAAAATCAGTAAAATGTGTATACTCGTTTCAGTTTTCTCACCTTAATTCTCGTGCTATGTCGTTCCTTTTGGTATCATTGTGTTCGCAAATAAATTTCATGCAGATGTATATGCATATACAACCCGTTCTCGCAAATTCGTAAAGTCAATATTGACTTATTAACTACGTGCATAGGTGATATACTAAACATAATAGATACCCTTAAAAAGATTCATAGAAAACACCAACCTTACCTAACCTTGTTAGTATCTTAAGATAAGCATCTTATTGCTTCGTAATGTAACACGGGCTTCGGGAATTTCTCTCTCTTTACTTCCTTCTTTCTACTCCCTCTACCCGTATTCTTACTTTTATTTCTAAACCAAGGGACTCCAAAACTTTTACCAAAGCCAACTCCACGCCACGTGGTCCTAAGACGATTGACCGACTTAGGATTCTACACCCAGTATGACGTGACCTAAGCTCTGAACAAAACCCTAGAGTCACCTCTGCTGCCACCACCAGACCAGTAATACACGAGCAATGATCGAGGTCTGGATCGATCACGCTAATTAATCAACCTAGGGACTTGATCCCCACTATAAACGATGACCTTGAGTGTGGAATAAATTACACGGTAATGATAATTCCGATTCGATGTTAGAATCGGCGCCCAATGCAACTCTGCCTCGTGTGGACCACGTGACCAGGACAAGTATACACATAAAACACATGGAAACAATAAAATGCAAATTAATAACAAATTTAATTTATTAAAAGAAAACTAAAACAAAATCTAAATATGTTCACTCCCTATCACTTTAACACTCCCTACTTGACCTGAGTGGCAAATGAGACTATTTCTATACTTAACAATAGCAACTATACCTTGGGCGACCACAGCTCTAGGTGTTGGGGCTGTTCTTGGGGAGAGGTAAGATGTTGACCTCTTATCCCAGCTGCTTCCGTGACCACACTGATCTCTCTCTTGTCTGGACTACCCCAGACAGAACATTGTATCCTTCCGCATCGCTTACCCAGTTACTTTAGCAAGGTTAAGTTATAACAATTAAACTCTGTTGTACTTAATTGATCCAGACTGGTTGAATTATTTTACTGAATTAAATTACAAACATCTAACGGCAGAGCTGTTCCCGATCACAAAAATGGTTATTAAAACTTTGAGAAATAGTAGACCTGTCAACCCCTGATGACCTATGACCGCCGGTCACTCCGCTTTAAAAGTTAGATCTGATTCGTGACGTCACTGATGGTGACTTAAACTCAATAATTAGAATACTCTTGATATTGTATCCAGTACTATTATACAATACAATTTTAATGCAAAATGAATAAAGGCTAATTTTCTCTAAATTACTGAATACTATAGGATGATTCATTTTACGCAGCTATGAACAAAGCGTTGGTTATTTCCACCGCGAATTCCCCTGGGGGTCAGGTCACCATGCGGCTCAGCTTCCCATTCTCTTTTGTCGATAAACCACTCTGGATAATTCTTACAACAGCCTAGTTTGTTACAGTAATTACAATTATTACTTAACCTATACCTATTATAGGTTAGGTAATAATTGTAATTACGAAGCAATAAGATGCTTATCTTAACATACTAAGTAGGTTAGGTAAGGTCGGTGTTTTCTATGAATCTTTTTAAGGGTATCTATTATGTTAAGTATGTCACCTATGCACATATTTAATAAGTCAATATTGACTTATTAAATTTGCGAGAACGGGTTGGCATATAATGTCCAAAAGCCTGGCGAGACTCTCCGCAGCAAAGCCTAAAATTACCCGTGAACGAGCACCAATTTGCACACCACAACCTAATGTGTATACTCGTTCAGTTTGATAACATAAATTTTCGTGTTACGTCTTTCAGTTTGATATCAAATTGTTTGCAATAAAAAGGCGTGTATTTTAAAACTAGTCCCATAATAATAGAGCAATAACTGGAATTTTAACAAATATTTTAATTCTGGAAGCTCATTAGCATAATTATTTATATCTTTCCAGTGTTCTGACAAATTTTTGTGTTACATCTTTCATTTTGGTATCAAATTGTTCGCGATGTAAAGGCGCACATTTTAAAACTAGTCACAACATAATAGCACAATAAATAGAATTTTAACAAATATTTTAAAATTTTGACCAAAAACCTATTTATAATCATATAAGTGTTCGGACATCAAGTTTCATGTTACATCTTTCATTTTGGTATCAAATTGTGCACATTCTAAAGGCGCTTAATTTGAAACTACTGTAACCCCGCGATTATCCGGGATTCAAACATCCGGAAAACGCCCTTATACGGCCAAAATCGTGATCGGATAAAGTTATCACAATATCCGGCCAAAATGGCCACAGGAACCGGATAAAAGCTGGTTTGGCCGGATGAATATTCGGCCATACCATATTAATCCCGTCTGTGGCTCTAGACGCATGGTGGAGGAGGGGGTGGGGTGGGTGGGTGGTGTTGGGAGGGTGGGAGAGGTGCGTATGAAGGGACCACCTGGGTACAGGAATTACCATTAATTTTAGAACACTTAATCATAGCCAAAAACAAATTAAATAAGTACTAGTAATTATGTATTAACAAATAAATAAGTTTCCTAAAAGTAATGTGCACAGGCTGAAGTTTCCTTCAAAAATATTGTGAGTTTTTTTTTCCTCCTGGCGGCCTACGTAACGCGCTATAGCTGCCCCACCCCAAGTGGACCCGTCCAACACTGGTCAACCCATGTGCGTCCATCCCTTGTGTTATACACAGTGCTGCGCCATTAGTGAAATATTTTTTTAAATAACTTTTTTATTTTCATAGTAACTTTGAACATTTTTGGCCAAGATTATGTCCGGTAGCAGCATCAATCGTTCTGGAGGTGTTAAGAGGAAGAAAGTTGTCTTAACAATTAAAGACAAGTTACTGTTATACACCTCAACCAGTGCGGCGTCACAGTGCTGCTCCATTAGTGAAATATTTTTTTAAATAACTTTTTTATTTTCATAGTAACTTTGAATATTTTTGGCCAAGACACTGTCTGGTAGCAGCATCAATCGTTCTGGAGGTGTTAAGAGGAAGAAGGTTGTCCTAGCAATTAAAGACAAGTTATGTGTTGTTCAACCAGTGAGGCGTCACAGGCAGCCAAATGCCTTCAACAAGTGAGGCGCCATAGGCAAGCCAAGCGCCTTCAACAAGTGAGGAGCAAGCAAGCAAGCGCCTTCAATAAGTGAGGCGCCATAGGCAAGCCAAGCACCTTCAACAAGTGAGGAGCAAGCAAGCAAGCGCCTTCAACAAGCGAGGCGTCACAAGCAAGCCAAATGCCTTCAACAGGTGAGGCTTCACAGGCAAGCCAAGCGCCTTCAACAAGTGAGGACATGCAAGCGCTTCAACAAGTGAGGCGCATGCAAGCGCCTTCAACAAGCAAGGCTTCACAGGCAACCCAAATGCCTTCAACCAGTGAGGCTTCAGCAGCTGGCAGTCAAAACTAACTTTGCTTAATGAACTGTACAGTAATTTTAAGTGTTGTGTTAGTATAGGTTACGTAAATTGTTAAGAATTCTTAACTTCAAGATGTGTGGCATCAATCAAGAAGACAAACACCAACAAGGTAAGTTGAGGTTTCTAGTTGAATATTTAATAATTATATGTGGCAAGGCAATTCAAATTATGTTGTTTGTAGTATAAAAGTAGTTGGAAATTGTCACTTTTGGACTCGTAGGTGAAAAAGTACCATTATCCGAAAAATGTGATAATCCGGCTGGGGGTCCTTCCCATATAGTCCGTATGATCGAGTGGAGACAGTATCCTGAGGTTGATCGGATAAAATATGATTTTTACAGTATATAAATATTTTTGTAGTGGACGCGAGTCCTGTCCAAAGTCAGGACTCGGGAGAAAAACTGGACATGATAGGTGTACAAAGAGAGCGATAGTGTTAAGTGGTTAACAAGGAGCACTCTGTGGGTATGCCACTGGGTGGCGACGCCATTAAGAATGCCGCAGATAAATTTGCAGAAATAGATGAGTATTCCAGATTTTCAAGCAAGTGAAGGATGGTTGCAAAGGTTTAAGAATAGGCATAATATTAAGAACAGGAAAGTTTGTGGAGAATCATTAAGTGCAGATACGGATTCTGTCGAGCCATTTAAGCGTAAATTGAATGATTACATAATAACAAATGATCCAAGGCATTTTTAGTTATACAATGCCGATGAAAGAGGCTTTAATTGGAAATGCTTGCAGAGCAGCACTTTGGCATCTGGGCTAGATGAGTGTGTTCCTGGCCGTAAGGTAAACAAAGAAAAAGTGTCTGCCATGTGTGCGAATGCAGACGAAAGTTATAGAATGAAGTCCGCCATTGTTGGGAAGTAAAAAAAAAAACACGTACTTTGAAAAAATTGAATGAACAGGCTACCTGTGGTCTACTACAGCTCTAAAACAGCTTGGTTTACTGGAGACATTTTTGTAGACTGGTTCAATAATCATTTTTGCAAAGATGTAAGAGATTTTCAAATAAACAAGTGTGGAGTGAGGCAGAATGATATCAAGGCATTACTTTTGGTTGACAATGCCCCAGCTCATGTAGGGCTCGACACATTAACGTCAAGTGATGGACGCATCAGATGTATGGCCTCACCTCCAAATACCACCTCTCTGATCCACCCAACAGATCTGGGTGCTATATATGCAATGAAAAGGCTCTATAAACGAGCAATGAATAAAGAAATCATGGTGTTTGAGTCAGATGAAGACAAAAGACAAGGAACCAATTTGCGAGGTAAAGCAACATTGGAACGTTACAAAAATTACTCAATTAAAGAAGCAATTTACAACTGAACTAAAGTTTGGGATGAAGTTAAAGAGTCAACATTAACCCTCAAACCGCGCATATCATATATAAATGATATCAGTGACACAACCGAAACCGCGCACATCATTTATATATGATTTCGTGTCTAGCGCTATAATTTAAACGCCCCGCCTGGGATAGGGGCAGCTATAGTACAGCCACGACCGATAGTTGCCAGATGCCACCTAGAAAAAAAATCCAGGCCAACATTCTTGGGTGTTACAGCGTCAGTATTGAGCAAGCCACCAAGGCTGGCGCACGGAGCACGAGCTCACAGCACCGCTGTTCAGCTTGTGACCACAGCATTGCCTACAAATACCATAATATAAATGATACTGCTATTATTTAGCAGTGATAGTATTACTGAAGCCCCCTGACTGTGATAAAACTGACCAGGATTCTGATAATAGCAGGATTGTGGTGATATTTAGCGCTGTGCTCCATGGAGGGAGGAGTAAGGCTGTGGGAGGGAGGGTTGTGGCGTCGTCTTCTGACTGTGTGGCCACCATTTATTGACTGCACTTACCATACCAGCTTAGTGGTTCGATATGGTGAACACAAATGTAGATACTTATATATAACGTGTGTATAGTGTGAGATAACAGCGAGAGGAGTAGGTTGGGAGCCGCCATTTTGGTGAGGGAGGAGCATCGTCTGCACGACTTGGCATGGTGTTTACTGATGGCCACTATGGTCTTTGGGCACCATACCAGCTTATTTGTTCAGGTATAGTGAATAAAACAGGTAGATACTTATATATAATGTGTGTATATAGCGTAATAACACCACAAACAATATTGTTGGATGACAAATATTAGTGCGTCTGGCCTTGAGGGCAGCCGCCGATCAGCTGACTGTGTGAGTAGCTACGTCTTATAGCCTTTACTCACCATACAAGCTTAGATGTACAGTTATGGTGAACAAAACATGTAAATACATATATATATAACGTCTGTGTATAGTGAATAAATACAAAAGAGTATTGTGGGAGGTGAATGAGGGTGAGTGAGGTGGTGTTGATGGAGGGAGTGGCAGTGAGTGGCTCGCTGGTGTTTGGCGGTCACTCCTCGTTGCTGTAACGATTCTATTGTTACGTAAAGTATGGTGACAAATAAACAGACACTAAGATACTATATATATATTTGGTCGAATATACAGAAGTACACAGGTGATACTTTGGTGTGAGTTGAGCGCACTGAGAGTCGGTACAGTATCTTGCAAGTGTCTGCTCTAGACCACACTTGAAAGTAGACTCTGGTTAATGTTTGCTATTCTGCTGCTTATATGCTCGGGCAACACCTCACCGTGTTGCCCGGGCAACGCCTCACCTCATTCATCTCCAAAGGTTGACAGGAATATTAACAATGCATTTGGAGCGAGTATATTATTGGGATAATCTACTCGCTACATTGCTTTTTGACTCACAAGACCAACTTAGTAGTTCGTTATGGTGTACAAAACATGCAAATACTTATATATAACCTGTGTATATAGTGTAACAACAGCAAAACTATTTGTTTATTGTTTTATGAACATAATAATTGAATCACTAATATGCACACCATAATTTTGAGTACAGCGATGGTTCACACATTTTATAATATAAATATACCACAATTCACTGTACGGAATAATATTACTGCAAAAAAACTAAGAAAAAATCAATCAGAGACATTGAAATGATTAGGTAATAATATATTTGTGGCAACTGCCGTCTGACAGCTCGGGCGGAGTAGACCTCGTCTGGCGAAGGCTCTGCCAACGCCCCTTTTTTGCCACACACTTCCCTACCCTATTGCGGCTAAAATATACCACCTACGATTTTTTTGTTATTTTTTCCGTGATCAGGGAACAAAAATGAACACTTCTATAAGACGAAAGAATTTTTTTGAATTTTTTTTTTTGTTGTGCCTGTGGGTGTGAATTCCATTTGGGCCCCTAGCGGTTTGAGGGTTAAGAAATTGTTGGAAAAAACTCCCGTTGCTTGATCATGCTGAAGTCACCGAAGAAAAAATGGATTTTGAAGGATTTTGAAATTAAATTTATCAAGAACTACGTGAGGCTGGTGAGGTGGAGGTGACTCTGAACAATGTGGAGGAGTGGTTAGATATTGATGCAGTCAATCTACCCATTGGTTATTTAACCGAAGATGAGATTATCCAAAATGTTACCGACACTTGACGAGGACTACGAAGGAGATAAACATGATAAGAAGTCAAAATCTGACACATTTGCTGCTGTATTGTTCCATGTTGCTAAACTCCTTGATTTTATTTCACAGATGGAAAATCCAGAGCTACCAGGCTTCTATCAACACTTAAGGACAATGACATATTTGTCTCGAGGAGATGACAAAAGGAAGGAAACAAACGAAAAATGATCTAATATTTTGCAATAACTAGTAGAAGATCAACAAGCACAGCCGTACCCAGCACCAGCACAGCCGTACCCAGCACCAGCACAGCCGTACCCAGCACCAGCACAGCCGTACCCAGCACCAGCACAGCCGTACCCAGCACCAGCACAGCCGTACCCAGCACCAGCACAGCCGTACCCAGCACCAGCACAGCCGTACCCAGCACCAGCACAGCCGTACCCAGCACCAGCACAGCCGTACCCAGCACCAGCACAGCCGTACCCAGCACCAGCACAGCCGTACCCAGCACCAGCACAGCCGTACCCAGCACCAGCACAGCCGTACCCAGCACCAGCACAGCCGTACCCAGCACCAGCACAGCCGTACCCAGCACCAGCACAGCCGTACCCAGCACCAGCACAGCCGTACCCAGCACCAGCACAGCCGTACCCAGCACCAGCACAGCCGTACCCAGCACCAGCACAGCCGTACCCAGCACCAGCACAGCCGTACCCAGCACCAGTACCCAGCACCAGCACAGCCACAGCCGTACCCAGCACCAGCACAGCCGTCCCCAGCACCAGCACAGCCGTACCCAGCACCAGCACAGCCATACCCAGCACCAGCACAGCCGTACCCAGCACCAGCACAGCCGTACCCAGCACCAGCACAGCCGTACCCAGCACCAACACAGCCGTGCCCAGCACCAACACAGCTGTACCCAGCACCAGCACAGCCATACCCAGCACCAACACAGCCGTACCCAGCACCAGCACAGCCGTACCCAGCACCAGCACAGCCGTACCCAGCACCAGCACAGCCGTACCCAGCACCAGCACAGCCGTACCCAGCACCAACACAGCCGTACCCAGCACCAGTACAATAGCAGCCAGCACCAGCAAAGCTGATGCAAATATCTAAGAACATTGTGTGTGGAGTGTACATTTAGAACAAGTCTTAAATTTAAGTACATAGTGTTAATGTGTTAAAATTAAAATTGCAGTAATTTTAGTGTACAATAGTTTTCATTAACTGTATTGCAGTACTCAACATACAGCAGAACTACATAATCAATGCAGTGCTAACGATATAATGCACTATAGTACATATTTACTGTACTGTATTCACAACTCCATGAGACTTCAAGATGGACATAACTCCAAGAATAAGGTAAATAAAAACTAACACAGTATTTGTTTAGTAGAGTAGTAATACAGTAGAATCCCGAGTGACGAGCGACTCCAGTTACGAGCATTTTGAGTAACGAGCAAGCCACTCGTAGAAAATTTGTCTCGACTGACGAGCTTTGGCTCGATTAACGAGCGTTCCCACTGGTTCTCGGACACCTCCGACGACAGTGGTGGTGCTGTTTCGCAAGACAAGTTTTCCACATGACACGCTCGGTGACGGAAAGGATTAAATTCGTTAATCGAGGCACCACTGTATATAGATACAGTATATAATATGATAATGCATTTTTATTGTGTACAAAAAAAAGGACCGACGCAAATGCCTCCTGAAGGTCACCTCTTGCAACGAATCCAACCCTGCAACAAACCGGGGTTGGTCCCAATAGTGCGCTGAATGAAGGTTGTACTGTACTTTGCTTATTACGTAACCACTTTAACATGTCCATTGAATATTGTATGAATAAAAGTAATATTATTACTACTACTTAGGTGAAGGAAGACGATCTTATGACTTACGGTCCTGGTGAGCAAAGGCACAGAAGGCTCCTCGAGGGCAGTAGCCATTCTGCTGAATATCGTTGCATTTGGTCGACTTGTAAATTTCTGGGTGGAACTGTTGCTCGGTTCGTGTGTGGCAGTACTGGCATGCATCTCCATTGTCACAGTTACTGGGCTCCCCCCACTCATCACCATGTTTAACGTTAGGACATGCTGTAGACCTGTTGGTGATGACGTAATGTTACCTCTTACCATTAACACAAATTACTCATATAATTTCACTTAAAACCACAGAATTCAAAATCATGGACTATATATATCCTTCCAGACCAGATTCAGATAACAAAGAGGAATTCATAATTTGTATTGTTTGGTCTTTTTTTGGCTACTTAGCAGAATTCTTGTTGTGAATTTTGTTCAGAAATTATAACAAATTTTTGCACTTATTAGAACTCATATATGCTGTAAAATACATTAAAAGAGCACCGAATGAAATGAAAAGCCCATTTTACATTGTATTTTAGTAGCTCTCCTATGCCTCGTGGAGAAGGATCAATCCTTCTGCCGCATGCGTGTCATTTAAGGATGACGGCGGCATATCTGACCAACCTGTCTGTGCCAGTCAGGATTACACCCAGAAATGGAGCTGCAGCAAAAGCTTAATGTCACAGCAGCAGGAAGAGCATCAAATCCCCCTGTTCAGGCTCTGGACTACCAGCAAACACACCAAAACACACTGGACTGCAGAGCCTCATGAAAGGCGTGTCAAAGACCCATCCAGAATACTGCCAACTCCGATATTTCAAAGTTGTTGCACTGCAATGCCAAACCCAGTAACCCTGCCTACTGTGAAGGCTGCTAATGAATTCCTATCACAGGTCTGATACACAGCAAGAGACTGCCACTGCACTGAACTCTGAATAGCCAAGAGGAAATGTAAAACCAGGCAAACCTCACGGGTTTCTCAGGGCAGCCAATGTGTGGTCCCTGCACTAATGAAGCATGGAGCACCAGAGAAAGCAATACAGCACTTTCAACCACATGTGACACATGGGGCAGACCAAATACGTGATGTTTGGGCAACCCGGCAGAAAATCGAGAACAGGAAACCTATACCAGAAAATTGCAGAGGAAGTGCAGGACCTCAATTCCCAGGAGCCAAGGCTAGCAGGTAACAATGTGAGAAATTTCCTGGGAAACACACTGGAGGCCAAAATGAGGGGCAGAGAGAGCCCCCACCAGAAACACCAGCCCATCCATCAACATTCAATGGATGGGACAGTGCCAATAAGTATCCTGGATGTCCAGGTAAAGAAGACAAGACTGCCTTAGAACCACCTGCCAAACCAAGACAAAAAAACCTTCTGGAACTTTGAACAGAATCAACCAAGCCTTAAGAAAGTGTTTCCATGCTACTGGGAATAAGATGGACAAGACTTGCAAGGTTGGCAATTTGTCTATGTTATGGCTAAAATTCAACCCATACTCTCATCAGGAAAGAAGAGCAGATAAGGGCGAGATCAGCAATAACAAGCACTCTTCGTGGAGTGGCCCGAAACAGCAACTCCTCAGGCAAGGAGAGCCTTAAAGAAATCCATTGCCGAGTCGCGGAGAATCAGAGTGAACAAATGAAGCAGAACCTTAGTGGATAGTGGATGTTGAAGTAAAGATTAAAGCTGGTGAGGCTGCAAGACCCAAACAAACAGTTAAATCTGGGACTGTGTGGCATGGAGCTCATATGTGACACACCAAAGCACTATTCAAACTGCCACCATCCATTGTACATTAATGTAAGCTAACAGCTAATTTATTCACCTAGTTGTGCTTGCTGGGCTGAGCTTCAGCTCTTTGGTCCTGCCTCTCAACCATCAATCTACGGGTGTACAAATTCCTGAGCTTCTCGAGCTCTATCATATCTATATTTGAAACTGTGTATGGAATCAGCCTCCACCACATCACTTCCCAGTGCATTCCATTTACTAACTACTTTGACACTGAAAACGTACTTTCTAATGTGTCTGGGGCTCATTTGGGTACTCAGCTTCCACCTGTGTCCCCTTGTGCCTGTACCACCCGTGTTAAGCAATCCATCCTTGTCTACCCTGTCAATTCTGTGGAGACCAGCATCTGTGATCATAATAATAATGGTTAGACACATAGCCCCCAGCCCACCTTGAAGTCATCATTGCACAGATCAAGCAATGAAACCAGAGGCTTAAACGTTTAACCTAAGAGAGAAAATCCAAAAAAGCCATGATGAGGATTCAAACCTATGCTGTGGGTGGTCCCATACACATGCCCCAGACAACCAGGTCACGACATGGTCAAAAGGATTGCAACCTGAAGTTCGACTGAACACACAAGGATTTTCTGAGGCTTCTCTTCCTGAAGAGAAGCCTTGAAAGAATTAAAATGTGGAGGGCAGGATCATGCACAAAGCCATAATTGAGCATGTGACAATGTAGCAGGCAACATGAAGTCCTCACCAGCAGACCTACAGCATGTCCTAATGTTAATGTGTGACACGACCCATCTAGAGAAACCGATAAAGTGCCTGTAGCCACATACACATCATCAAAGGGATAAGGGGGTGGGGGGGGGTGTTAGAAATAGCCTAAGCTACTCTATCCCTTTGAGATGTATTTCTTTCTTGTCTCAATAAACATACTTGAACTTGAACCAAAGGGATACACAGTACAGATCAGTTAGTCCAGAAGTTGCTCAAGACCCTGATAGTATAATTGGTCCATCCCAGTGATCAGGCAGATGTGAAGCAAGATGACAGAGGGCAGTTTCTAGATGAAAGAGGAAACAGCCTTGGTATCCCAACACACACCAAATTATTTGAGATATTCAGGCAGTCAGATACTTTTTCAGTCCACTGATAATGAAACTGAAATGTTCCAATGCCCTATTCCAGGCCAGTAGACAAAACTGGCACCATGAAGCCCAGATCAATCAACCATTGAGGTAGGTTGGAATACTAATTCCAAATGCCATGTAACCCTGGTATGTGTTCTCAAGAGCCAGGTTGATCCTGAAGGGAGTGCCAGAGTGGATTGTCAGTGATTGGTTCTGTGTATCTAAGTCCAATTCACATCACAGATCTGCTAGTATGACGTGCAGCTATTTTTAAGAGTTTGTTATATTGTGTAGTACTGTATATGCAAACAATTTAATAGGCAAACAGACAATTACAAAACATTTACAAGTACAAAGTAACTCATTAGCTTCACTTACCTATATTTACATTTTTTAGGTGATCTTCTTCTATCGCGAGAATTATGGTACTGAGGGCATGCATAACCCTGCCGACACAACCTAGGTGGCCGCTTGCACTGTTCCGTCTTATAATTTGCTAAAACATAAGTTGTATCTGAGAAGAGACAAAAATGCAAATTGTCACACATAAATACCATAATAGTGAAAATAGACTGTATAAACATCAGAGGTACACGGTTGTTCAACATCCTCCAGGCTAGTATAAGAAATATTTCAGGAACAACCGTGGACATCTTCAAGATAAAACTAGATAGCTTTCGCCAAGAAGTGCCAGATCAACCGGGCTGTGGTGGATATGTAGGCCTGCGAGCTGCTCCAAGCAACAGCCTGTTGGACCAAGCTCACAAGTTAAGTCTGGCCTCAGGCCGGACTTGGGGAGTAGAACTCCCAGAACCACATCAAGCAGACATTAACACTTTAGCATCCCAATGAAGTTAAAACAGGACATTCATCTTGAAATAATCTAAACTCACTTTTTTTGTTAACTATTTTCCTTTTCATATTTCTTACAGCATCGTACATGATTACTGTGTGTAGGGACCAGTAATGAAAACTAATGGTAAAAAAAAAATTGGGTGCCCAAACTAGCAGGGAAGCAATCAAAGTATAGAGGACCAGCCAGAGATCACATCAGCCACCTACTTACCACAGACACCAATAGCTGCTCTGCTTGTGAATATTTTCACTATTCTTTGTAAATTATGTGCCAGAAAAGCAAGAAAGTTAATTTGAATATATTTTCTCTTACTGTAGACCAATAATGTTCACACACATTTCCATAAATGAAATTTGTATTTATGTTGAAAAATAGATAAGGAATGTTGGAATTTTAATAAAAATTTGTATATTAACACTTTGTGCGGATCAGGACTCCGCCCGGAGTCCTGTTTCGCCTACCCGCTTCCGCGATGTGCACCATCACACACAATCTATAATTAAAAATAAAAGCATTGAATGTAATGATCATCCAAGCTGCATCGAACAGCCTGGTTGGACATCTACCCTCAAAATCAACAATAGGGAGCCCACGAATCGTGAGGCCTGGAATTGGCAAACCAAACAAGCTGCCTTCCCAATGCCCCATCGCAGGGGCGAGCCACAAAAGGGTAGCACGACCAACAAGCCAAAACTGCCGAGTGGCGCGAGCACAATGTCGACCCAACGGAAATGGACCAGCTTAGGGAGGCACTTGCAACCCGGCATCCGTCTCCACAGATGGCCGACTTTGACCCACAACAGGTGAAACACACTCGACCACCTCCAGGAACCAAAAGCGGCAGACAGGCTATAGATGCCAGCAAGAGGAACTGAGCCACCCCTTCAGAGATGAGGAAAAGAGAGGGGGCACAAGGTGAAGTCAGACAGGAGAACCAAGACCTATGCCAAAACCAAGGAATGGGCCAGCACAGACTATCGACACGTGAGTCAGGCAACGAAGAACGTGGCCATGTTTCCTGGAGCATGGGAATATACAGTTTGGGAAGTGCGGTCGATGCTGCCACAGTAGTAAGACCCCCCCCCCCTCCCGACTGATCCTCATTAAGCACCACAACAGCAACCTGGAGCCAGTCTGAATGAAGCTCCATGAGACCCAAGACGTGCACAACAAAACCAAAATGCTGACAGGCTTGGGGGGAAAAAAAAAAAAAGTACAATACAGTATTAACATTTTAGGTGTTGCTAAGCAGGAACCTGAGATGCCTGGAATGTTAAGAGGTTGGAAATGAGCTAATGGACTAGAATGGCAGTGTTAAGAGGTGCAGATGTAGGGAGGTGAAAAACCCAGAACACACACTCAAAATTACATTAAAAAATTAGCAACTTACACTATCCTTAAATAACAAGCATTAATTACCTTTTTATTAAAGCATATCACAATAGTTAATAAAACAAAAACTAGCATGGGTTTTGCCAGCTATTAGAACATAAGCTTTCTTAAAACAATAATAATTAAGTTTACAGTATATGTAAATACATAATTCTGTATTACAGTACTAGTACTGCATTTGCATACTTCTTTACATACATTTCATATTTATTGAATGATGACTTATGAAATGGGTAGAATATCAGTGCAAGTGATAAGTCAAAAATCGAAAGAACCAACAAAACATAATTACCTTGCCACTTGGGGTCATCATTAACCATATTTCTCTCCTTATCGAGATTGTTGGGCCCCGAACCATTAATGCTATCGTGATCCATCACATCTAATACTTGAATCTCTCGTATATCATACACGGGCGGTCTGTGGAAGACAAATGGGGCTCAGAGAATGAACATAAGAGGCTAGGTGCAGATGAAGGGATGCAGAAAGGTCAAAATACATGTTACAAGGTGCAGATGAAGGAATGAAAGGTGCTACTCATGGTGGAATGCAAATAGGAGAGTGAGGGAACTGGAAAAGAGAGAGAGAGAGAAGCCCGATGATGACAAGTGATGGTAATCACAAAGTAAACTTATCAGAGAAAATTTCCCTCATTGTTTCTAAATAGTTTCTTAAGCAGCTAGACCTCAGGGTAAGGCCAAAGCCATGTGGCAAAGCTTTCAGAATTTTGGCCAACCAATACCACAAGACCAGCCTCTGTCTATCAACCATATCTTATCCTGGGTCCTGCTGCCGCTACTCCTACAATCACCCCATATCATCACTCATCATTATTTAAACACTCGCCAAATCCTTAACTGTAGCCTCTGTTTAACTCAACAGTAAAATGGGTACTTGGTTGTAAAAACGATTCTTCGTGGGGGTCGTATTCCAGGGACCATAGGATTAAGGACTTGCCTGAAACGCTACGCGTACTAGTGGCTGTACAAGAAAATAAGAACTCTTGTATATATCTTAAAAAAAAAATTGTCACTGAAGCTAAACACACTAACAAACAAAATTGTTTAGGAAGATCACCATCCAAGTGTTGCTACACTCACATGACTCCAAGCAGATGAAGAATCACATGGCTGTGACCACTCATCGAGGCACTGTATGTACTAGAAAAAGGTATTTTTTGCAGACAATAAGTCACAATAACGTGGCTGGAGGTAGCAAGACTAAACCACACACCAGAAGATGAGGAGACGACGACGTTTCAGTCTGTCCTGGACCATTATCAAGTTGATTGTGATGGGAGCAAGGAAGGCACGGGCATAAAGTAAGGCAAGAGTGAGAAGTGGAGAGAGGTGAGGAGGAGGAAATTCTTAGAGAAAGGTAAGAGCAAGGCAAAAGATACAGATGATATGGGTGTAATAAAGAGGTGTAAGAAGGGGATAATAATGTGTATAAGAATGGGAATGCAAGAATAAGAAGAGAAAGAACAAGAAAGGGGGGGGCATAGGCTTATGTTGTCACGTTTGTTAGAAAGGTTAGAACATTTGAGAATGTACTGTGAAAGTGAAGAGTCAACAGCAACAAAGCCAGGAATAAGAATCATGTTGGGCATGTTGTGTATCAGAGCCGATTCGACAAGACGGTGTCTGTGAAGAGTAGAGGCAGGAAGGATTTTAGTAGACCAATCAATAGAATCCCTAACATGACAGATGAGAGCATTGTTTGTGTCTGCAGACTTAACACTTCTTTTGTGTTCCTTAACCCTTAACTGTGCAGCACAGCTATAGCTGGGGTGAGTAGCTGTTGCAAAATTGCACACCACAGCTATAGCTGTGTTGGATTACAGCGCAAGATTTAAACAGCCCGCTTTTAAACCACGGGGTTCACATCAGCTTCCTCAGGACTGTTGTAAACAGACGCCACTAAAAAAAAATCGTGGGGAACATCCCTGGGTGAGAGAGCCTCAGTACTGAGTAATCAACCAAGGCTGGTGCACACAGCATGAGCTAACAGCACTGCTGTTCAGCTTGTGACCACAACATCGCCTAAAAATGTTAAACTATATATATGTAATTGGTATTATTTAGCCATGATAGTATTACAGAAGAGCCTGACTGTGATAAAGACTATGTACAATGTTCAGATATCAGTGAACACAATGCTGTTCAAGATGTTCACAGCACTAGCCACAGCACACTGCCATTGTTTCGTCCATCTAAGAATCTTCAAACGACTTCTCGTGTTCCTTTCCACAAATAAACTTGTGGAAAATTATTCATTTACAGGATTTAGTGACCAGGATTCTGATAATAGCAGGAGTGTGGTGATAATTAGCAATGTGCGTAGTATGGGTGGGAGGAGTAATCTTGGTGAGGAGGAGGGAGAGTTGGCGTCGTCTCCTAGCGTCGTCTACTGGCTGCTATGTAACTTGTCATGCAGTGTTTTGTTGCCACTATGTTGTTTGGACACCATACCAGCTTAGTTGTACAGTTATGGTGGACAAAACATAGATACCTATATATAACATGTGTATATAATGTAATAAATTCACACACAGTATTGTGGGAGGATGAAAGTTGGTGAGTTAGGTGTTGAAGGAGTGAAGGAGGGCTGGCTGGGTGTTGCAGCCCACTCTTGATGTTAGGACTCACCGTGCCAGCTTAGTGGTTCGCTATGGTGAACAAAACATGCAGATACTTATATATAATCTGTGTACTGTATATAGTGTAATAACAGCAAAACTATTTGTTTATTGTTTTATGAACATAATACTTGCATCACTAGTATGCGCACCATACTTTTGAGTACAGAGATGATTAACACATTTTATTATATAAATATATCACACTACACACTATTGAATAATACTGCATTACTGAAAAAAATAAGAAAAAAACCATCAGAGACATTGAAATAATTAGGTAATATCATCTTTGTGACAACTCCTTCCCGACCGCTCGGGTGGAGCTGACCGCCTCCAACGAGTGCTCTGTCAACGCCTCAATTTTGTCAGACTTCCTCACCCTATTGTGGCCAAAATATGTCGCCTATGATTTTTTTTGTATTATTTTTCCTGTGGTCAGGGAACACAAATGAACACTTTTATAAGATAATATATTTTATTTTATTTTTTTTATTTCTTTTGCCTGGGCATTTTGCAAACTATAATCACACAAGCAGCCTAAGGGCTAAGTCTGTCATTTAGTGTACGGCCAGTTCCCCAAAGTATTGTTGAGGACAAGATGAACAGGAAATAGAATAGACACACGCAGCATTAGAAGCAGGAGCAGCAGTGTGAACCATAGTATTACAAAGAGTGTTAGTTTGTTGAAAGGGGAGCTTTATGTCAAGAGGACGAAAGGTATTAGCGAGATTTTTGAGTTCAGATATGAAGGGAAGGCAGAGCACAATGGACTGACGAGACTGTTGGAAACAGGTTTGGGATGAAAGACATTTTCGTTTAACTTGAGAATAGACACAGTTGATAAAATGTAAAGGGTAGCCAAGGCAAGAGAAAGATTTGTAGATAAAGGAAATGTCAGAATCAAGAAACTGAGTGTTGCTGATGTGTAGAGCGCGGAGGAAGAGAGACGAGGACGCTTTTCGTAACAGAGGGAGGATTGTAGGAAAAGAAGTGAATGTACATGCCACTATGTATGGGTTTGCAGTAGACAGCGAAAGAGAACCCGAACACAGCTGTGAACGTGAACTTCAAGAAAAGGAAGGAGAGAATTAGATTACCATTCAGCTTTGAAATGGATGGAAGGAGCCAGATTAAAAAAGAGGAGAGGAAAGGCTGGATAAGACTAAGGTCATGAGGCCATAAAGTAAAAATGTCATCAACATAGCGAAGCCAGAGAGAGGGACAAGTATCAATAGTGAGAAGGAAAATGGTTTCCAAATATTCCATACAGAGATTGGCAAGAACAGGGGATAGAGGGGAAACTCACAGCGACACCAAAAGTTTGAGAGAACTATTTTTCATTGAAAGAGAAGGAGTTAGAATCAACACAAGTCTGATGAGTTCAAGGAAAACGTCTGTGGGAAGTTTGAGATGAAGAAGGCCCTTGGTTGCCTTATGACTAAGGAAAGAGAGATCATCATCAAGGGGGAACATTAGTATACAGTCTCTCGACATCAAGACTAAGCATCTTACAGGAGGGCTGCAGGCACAGTCTTTTTATGAAGCCCTGAGTGATGAAGGTGGGCAGGAGAAAAAGTGCCAAGATCAATGTCAGAGTTTTAGCAATCCAGGAGGCAAGAGGATAGCCGACAGAGCCCCCTCCTTTGAAGAAATGAAAGGACGAAGATGAACACCATGTTCATGAGGCTTGGTTAGACCATAGAAATAAGGAAGAGAAGGGCAGATGACACAAACATTTTATCAGACGAAAGTCAGGAGGACAATGACTAGAGAGCTGTCTTAGTTTGTGTTTAAGGGAAGTTTTATGACAATCAAAAGGGTTAGAAGCCCGAGGTGCATATGTGGGGGAGTCAGAGAGCAAGATGTCAGCTTTCTGGCGGTAGCTCACACAGTCAAGGACAACCACCAAATTGCCCTTGTCGGAAGGAAGGATAAGAATAGCGTTGTTAGCTTTCAGGGGGGCAAGGGCAAGCTGAAAGCGATGAGGAAGGTGGTGATTTTTAGAAAACAAACTAAAAAACTGGGATAAGAGCCCTCCCCTGAAGAAAGATAAGTCCGAAAGAGTATTCGAGTTAGAATTGACAAACCTATCAAAGGAACTAATGAGGTCGATGCCACAGCAAGGGTCAGGGTGTAGCAAAAGAGAGACCAAGTCCGAGAAGTTCTTGCTGGTGCTTAGAGAGAGGGGAAGAAGAAAGGTTGGTAACGTAGTCAAATAGAGTATCCTCACCTCTCTCCACCTCTGTCTTGCCTTACTGTCAAGACTGGACTTACTGTCCACCTCTTGCCTTGCCTTAATGTCAGGCCCGTAGGGGCCTGACAGCCGAGTGGACAGCGCTTCAGATTCGTAGTCCTGAAGTTCCAGGTTCGATCCCCGGTGGAGGTGGAAACAAATGGGCAGTTTCTTTCACCCTGATGCCCGTTACCTAGCAATAAATAGGTACCTGGGAGTTAGACAGCTGCGACGGGCTGCTTCCTGTGGGTGTGTAACAAAAAGGAGGCCTGGTCGAGGACCGGGCAGCGGGAACGCTAAGCCTCGAAATCATCTCAAGAAGATGACCTACTTAACCACTGCAATAAGGTGCCCGATCAGGGGTGCGCAGAGTGCCATATGGCACTTTTAGGTATAGGGAGCAATTTAAAATTCCCATGGGTACACAGGGTTCACATCCTGTGCCTCAGGACTCCAGTAAACAGACGCTAACTTGAAAAAAAAAATTGTCAGCATCCGTGCTGGCTGTGAGAACCTCAGTACTGAGAGTGTGACCAAGGCTGGCGC